AGAAAAAAAATGAATTGGAACGATTGTAGTATGAGGCTGCGACATAACAAAATTGAAAAAAGTGAAGGGGGTCTGAATACTTTCCGAATTGCACTATATATACTTTCTATAGCTGCAGGCTACTTCCCTTCAGTCTAGAAGATACACATTATTTAAGATGGCACATGGCCTCCATTTATTAATACAACCCAAGATGCCTCCACAGGCAATTTGCCATAACATGGGAAAAAAAGGGGAATCAGGAACAATCAGTACGTGGATTCCAGTTACTGCATGAGTTTCCAAAACTGCCATTATCTTAGAAGTTGCCAAGAAGGTATGCCTAACCATATGCTTAGCTTGTACACTGTAGATGCGCATTTTCCTCTAGAGTTAAGTGCTGCAAGCTTTACTCACCAGCATTGCTTACCAATGAAAAATGAAGTGGGACACATAACTTTCTTCCCAGTGTATAAAATAGTTATAATCTTAGAAACATGCAATCATATTAAATATGTTCTGAAGAAACCTGTTGACATCATTCTCTACTTAATACTAAAAGTAAGGAATATACAAACATGTAACAGCCCATCTTAAAATTGAGTTTCTCAGTGATCAGTTAACTGCAATGCTTGCAAAAAGGAGATGGGATACATCCCCATTTCATACACTGTTTTCTTGCAACTGGTATTTGGAGAAATGATCCGCTCAACACAGAGGTAGCACTGATTCTTCAAGAAGGATCTTCAACAACTCTCCATGAAATTATCTAAACTCTTTTTAAAGCCATCATCTCTTCTTGCAGTAACAGAGTTCCACAGGTTAATTACATGCTGTATGAAGAAGTTTCCTTTTCATCAATTTCACTAGTTTTGAGAGAGGGAGAAAACTACTTTTCCTTAACCGTTTTCTCCATGCTGTGCAGAATTTATTCATGCTGATTATGTGCTCCTCAGTCATTCTTTCTTTCAGTTAGAGTCTGGGTTTTACTTTGAGGGAAAGCATGTGGGCCCTCTGATATTTTTGGTTGTCCTCTTTTGCATTTTTCCCTGCTCTATTATCTATTTTTTCAAATGTGACTACCAGAAGAGTGCACTATACAGATGCACTATAGGCAAACTGGCAGATTTCCCGTTTTCTAATGAACCTAGCATAGAATTTGTTTCTTTTACACTTACTGCACCCTGAGACTTATTCTATCCACCATGACCACAATAGCTCATACTGGGTCAGTTACAGACAACTCAGAACCACTGATGTATATACGAAGTTAGTGTATTTTGCCCCAATGTGCACTGTTTTACTAAACTGAACCGTATTTGTAATTTAGTTCACCAGATACCAAATCTAAAGATACTTACTGAGCTTTTCACAATCACTTTTGTTTTTCATCTAAATAAGTGGTACCACTTGCAAACATGGCTAGCTCACTGCTTGTCCCTAGTCAATTTATGAACACATTAAAAGAAGTTGGTCTGAACAGATTTTTGAAGGACTCTGCTGCTTACTTCCCTACAATGAGAAAATCATCATTTATTCCTACTCTTTGCTTTCTGCTTTATAACCAATTAACAACTGACAAAAAACAGGTACTCTAAACCTATGACTGCTAAATTGAATCAAGAACTGTTTTATGGGAATGTTGTCGAAGGCTTTTCAAAAATCCAAGTTCCTCTTGACAGCCTCAAAAAGCTCTAAGTTTCCAAGGCAGAATTTACCAATCAATGCTGCTTTTCCTTCAGCAAGGATGTCTTGCCTACTTAGATATTTTTTCTTTTACTAGCATTTCTACCAATTTGCATAAAACAGATGTTAAGCTGACAGG